TTTCGATTTTTTTTTGGTGGTTATAAGGTCAGTCGAATTGACCGATCCAGTTTTGAGATAGGGTAGAGAAAATAACATATAAACTATAAGAATTTATTGAAAAAAAAATCATTTGAAATGCATTTAGGTTTTAGAGATTACACAAAGGAAATTTGATATTTTTGAGATGATGAAAAGTATTTTTAATTTGAAGATGAAAATTACTTTGCACAAAGACTATTCAAAACAAATACTTAATATATTCATGGACAATTCTTTATTTTATTAAAATACTTCACTAAGAAATATGACTTTTTGTATGTGAAAGACTGCCAAATTTCGTGAAGATATAACCAATATATATAGAGATATAAGTATTAAATTTATATCAACTCGAAATGAGTACAAAAGGTCACGTGACTCAGTCAAATTGACTGACCCCGTGTTGAAAGACTGATGAGCTGGAACACCTACATATTTTTCTTCCATAATACTGTTAAGGTTATTCCAATGAAAACTCATAATTCAAGTAATGATATCTAATATACATTACCTTGCATTTATTACAATTAAAATTCATCTGCCATTTATTTGCTCAAATCATCAAATAATCCAAATCCTTTAGTAAAGCAGTAGTATCCTTCTCACAGCCAGCTACACCCAAAACTTTAATGTCATCAGCAAATTTAAATAATCTATTTACCATTCCTTCATCTCTGTCATTAAAGTAAATAAAAGGGCAAAGATCATAACACATATGACATTAATCCAGTTTGAGTGAACTCCATTCATAACAACCCTCTGCTTTCTTTCACTTAACCAGTTTACTATCCAATGAGCTCGTACCAATGAGCAGTATTCAAAGAATGTCAAAAGATTAGTAAGGCAAGATTTTCCTCTACTGAAACCACGCTAACTATCCAATAAAACTTTAAACTTTGTTAAATGACTTTACAAACATCTTTTTTCAGACTTCCAAAAACTTTTCCAACCATTGACGTAAGACTAACAGGGCTATTAATGCTTGGAGACGGCTTGAATGGGTAATGAAGAAAAGGTTTTTGTCATCATCAGGTACAGGGCTATATTTACTGGAATAATTTTTGTCATCCCTCTTGAAAAGAGGACTAAAATTAGTCAACTTCCAGTCTGCTGACAACTGCCCACTATTCAAATAGCTAAAAAAATAGTAGCAAGTGGCTCAAATATCCAATCTTTAATCTATTTCAAAACCTTTGGGTAAACATTATTTGGTCCAGGAACTTTACTATTCTTTAAACTTCCCAATTTTTCTTAACATGCTCAGAATTAATATGATCATCTTATTCAATTCTTTTTCCATCTATCAACTGTCCAGGATGAGGAATATTGCTTAAATATTCATTAATAAAAACCGAAGAAAAAGTATAATTTAGTAGTCCAGTAATACTATAATCATCATAAATTAGCCTTCCCATATCATCCCTCAAAGGCTCTACTCCCTTGTTTACCCTTAATGTATTTGATGAAATCTTCAATATTAATTCTTACATTTCAGCCAATTATTTCTCAAATATTCTTTTTATTTTCTAATTTACTGTTTCACCAACTCTCAAACCTTCTATCAGTGCAGTCAATTCAAACTAATTATATTGAAAATATTTTCTTGAATTTTATCTTGTATACCTTTTGTGAACCATCCTAGTTTTTTACTTGCAGCCACCCTCTTTTCTGTAAGGAACATGCCTATCTTGAACATTTAAAAATAAATTTAAAATATTTTCCACATTTGATCTCCAACTAATTCATTTGTTTAATTCACAGCAGATATTTATTGTATCATTACTTCAAACTTTGCTGTTATGAAATTTGGAGCCAAAATCTCATCTCCTACCCCCTTTTTAGCAAAACACCAAATCTAATTGAGCAATTATCACTTGTATCTAGATGTTCTCCAATCTCCATCCTTTCAACCATTTTTTGTATAAGAAATTAACATTAATAATTCTAAACAAGCATCATTCCTAGTACGTTTCCTAACCAATTGTAGAATAAAATGATCTTAAACAGTTTCTAAAAACCGTTCTCCCTCATGATTTGACTCTAACATTTCTCAATCTAAGTGCCTGAAATTAAAATTTCTCATTATTGTTACCTCACAAGCTGATGTACCCATCCTTTATCCAGTTTATGAATTTACGGGGGTGGATGCTATGATAAATAACACAAAAGTCCTAAATTTCACAATTTATTTATAATATAACATATTATTACACTATTCACTATTACCTCACTAAAAGTTTTGTATAAGGTTTAATAACTCAATAAGAAGAGTTTCTCAATAATTTCATCTGTTTCTTCTGGTGGTCTGTAACAAATTCAAACTAAAAGCCTTTTCCCCTTACAACCACAAACCTAATTGCTATTAGCTTTAATATTCTCAACTTCAACAGAATGTAACTCACATTTTACATATAAAGCCACTCATCTTCCTGTTTTTAGTTCTCTATTTCTATGAAAAAACCTATAACCTTGTACTTCAAAGAAATTCCTGTCATCAAAATTGTTCATGTTTAGCCAGGTTTTAGTTATTCTCATTATATCAAAATCCTCTCTTTCTACCAGTGATCTAAAGTCATCCATATTATTTCTTATACTTCTAAGTTTACAATAACAACAGCTTAGCCTACAGTTAAAACTACCTTTGTTCAAACACTATATCCCTCTCTACATTTTATTTTTCTTCATTATTCTGGCCCTCTCCACTGTCTAGCATCATCCCAACACTATATGGGACTAGTAATGTTTCTTATGCCTAGTATAAATTTGTTGTTTATGTTGTTTGCTTCTTGTTCACTTCAGTATTGATTATTTCTGTTCATTTATATAAATACACACACACACACATATATATATCTTTTTTTTAACCAGTACAACACACATATCAACCATGATCAAACAGTAGGTGTACAGAAGAGTTAAAATAATAAAAAGACTTATCATCTGTCCCACTAAATTTTGTAAAATTCCACTCCAATACAAAAGAAATCACTTATATAAATCAAATTAACATTCTCAGTGGGAGAAAACATTACAATAATTTCTACAAAAATAGAGAAGAGTATCATTACTTACATCAAATTTTCCAAAGTTAATCAACCCAGAGTAAGAGAGCTGTCCAGGATGATTATGATAAGCACTGAGCACCAAATTCAAAGTGAAAGCTGAGATCATTGAGCAAAAAAACTGAAAAAGAGAGTTATTAAATTTGTAACTCAAAATGGCCAGAGCACTTAATTAATTTTGTTCATTTTACAGGTTTCACAGAAATTTGGGCTTTTAATAATAAGTTTGTACTTCAAAATAACAACATTGCCTATGTTATCCAAATAAAATTTCTAATTTTTTTATAATTCTTTGACTGTAGATCAAAATATTAGGACCATAAGTCTGCAACAAGCCTAATTGTTTAGATACAATGCAGCCAACAGGTCTCAAAACCCTTCAACACCAAATCTTATTTGTGTGATGACAGAACTGCTGTATAATGTGCAAGTGTCCAACCTTCCTTCCTAAATAAAAGTATTTGTTCACAGACACTCTACTTGTTCAAATTGCTAATGAATCATATCTATACTTTCCTTGTGAACAGTAATATTCTTATTTGTACCTGCTATCTTACAAGTCATAATACAGCTTTCAGCATTTCAGAGCTATTACTTTCTATAATGAATTACAACAAAACAGAATAGATAACTCTTTTAATGGCTGGAGATGGCTTGAATGGGTAATGAAGAAAAACTTTAATATAAGTTTAACATAACAGCAAATGTACAA